GCTGAGCAGAAAGAAGGCCAGTTCGGTAGAGCGAAACAAAACAGTGATTGGGCATGCAGTGAGAGGATGAGGGCTGCCGAGGGGATTAAAGGACGGTGGCAAAATGAAGGGATACACAACCAACCGAAAAAAAAAAAAAAAAACGAAGTATTAGGGAGTAAGGGCATACAAAAAAAAACTAGGCATCAAAATGAAGAGAGACGCAGAGGGTAAGGGTGGCAAAATGAAGAGAGAGATGCATGCAAAAGAAAACTAAGGGCCTACAAAAAAAAAACTAGGGAAAAGTTGTAAAACCTCCCCGCGACGAAACCTTTGTATTCTTTTTTTTTTTTTTTTTTTTTTTGAAACACCCTGTGATATCCCTCTATCCTGGCGGCGGCAAAAGAGCTGTCAAGATTGAGGGACCTTTGTATTCATTTCAATCCCAATTGGGCAAAAAGTGCTGCAGGCCCGAAAATGACTTCTGACATCATTTTTCCACCTCGTAAAACACTTTCCCCAAGTTTCCCGCCATTTTTTGCACAGCGGGCATTACTGCCCCAGCCAGGGTGCAAAAATGACCCGAAAAGTCATTTTTTTGGGCCTGCGGCACTTTTTGGCCCCTTGGGGGGGAAATGAATACAAAGGTTTCGTCGCGGGTAGGTTCCTTTTTTTCTTTTAACTTCTCCCTAAACTAGGTATCAGAAGAGAGTAAGGGTGGCAAAAAATGAAGAGAGAGATGCATGCAACAAAAAAGTAGTGGCATACAGAAAAACTAGGTATCAGAAGAGACTCAGGGTGGCAAAATGAAGAGAGAGAGATGAGATGCATGCCAAAAAAAAATCGAGTACCAGAGAGGAACCAACATTGTCAGTGACTGAACCATCAGTGCAGAGGATAAAATAATACTCAAATTCATGTCACCATCTATTACAGCCTGACAATGTCAATTTGCAAATTTGAAAATAATTTCATGTTCACTGTACAGTGTACAAGGGATTTAAAAAAAATCATCGAATTCCATTTCATGACTGTGGGGCTCGTTCGACACTCCTTGGGGCGTCCTCGGGGCCGAAGGAAGTTTCCTTGGGGGTTTTCAAGGAAATTCCCGCCATCGTTCCACCTGTCCTCGGGGATGTCGCCCGAGGACATTTCCTTTGAACGATGTCAGACAAGAAAAAAGAAAAGAAATAAAAAATCAAATGTGTTTGACGCCTTCAGCCAATAGGGTGCCGCCACGATCCAGATTCTCGGTTGTAACGTCTCTCTACCCATGTGCCCGCTCCTCTCCCTGAAACGCGGATTCCTTTTGCCCAAGGGAGCTCGTGAGGTCCCTTGGGCAAAAGGAAGAGATGGCTGGGGAATCCTCGGAGCCCAAGGAATTTCCTTCGGTGTTATGACCCTGGCCAATTTCGAGATACACATCCACTGGAAAGTACAACGTCATCCAATTGCAGAAAGAAATGAATGAACTTCAGAGGTGAGAGAGGAGTAGTAAGAAAGAAGAAGAAGAAGATGTGCACCAGCAAAGACAATGACAAGGCTCTTCTTCTTCGCCCAACAATCTCCTCCTCCTTATCTCCCCCTCCTCTTATTCATACAAGAAATAATAATACAATGTTGAATGACTGGTCCAGAATCAATGTCCGAGTCCCTCTTCTACTGCAGGTATCACTCAAGGTCCACCATAGCCATGGCCGCCTCTCCCACTCTTCACTCTCATAGGCCAAGGCTATGGCGGACTACTAGGCCTTGCCCAGATGCCCAAAGGACAACCCGAAGCAGCTATGGCTGCTCTAGCTCAGGCCGCCATGCCCAACCCTGCCTTGAAGCTTCTTGGTGTGGCTCTCCCCGGCTGGGGACTCCTTGCTGCACCGCCCACCAAGGTGATGAAGATGGCTGCCACCATAGCCAGGTAAGTACCCCTGGCGCTCCTCCCCCTTCCTTCCTCCTTCCTCCTCCCTCCTCCCTCATGTCCTTCTCCTTCCTCCCCAGCAGCGTTGCTCCAACTTAGCGCTGCTCCAGCCAGCGCTCCTCCAGTGTGTCGCCAAACTTGCACACCGAAAAAGAGGCCGGGTCTTCCGCCCGGCCTGAAGATATAGCGGCCTGCTTTGCCTCTTGGGCGGTGACTTCCAGGCCACTGGCCTTCACAAGCAACCGGTACCTCCTCCTCTTTTGGAGGGAAACATCATTGCAGACTCTGATATTGCCCCTACAGGCCCTAGACTCAGACTG